TCGAAAATGCTGCTTATCGCTCTCCATATTTAAAAGGGCACCAACCAAAAACTACTGCGTAGAATTAATTGGAATTTTTCACACACAAGCCTTGCTATATGAGCTCTCAAAGCATATAAAAATTATATGGCTTAAATGTGAAGTTGGGTGCAAAAGAATACAATTAAATCCTCTGTCGGGAAAAAACGAAATGACTTTCCGAACAACCCTATTAAAATACAAATGTTGTTTTAAATTAATGGACTGTTTTTGTTTAGTTTTATGGGTGGTATTAACTTTTGGGGAGGTACAAAAGAAGATGACATCTTTTTGGCACCGTCGTTTGATGATAAGATTTTAGAAGTTGTTGCTGTTTTTGGTTCGGTCCAAATGGCAGCATCCCGACTCATTAACCTTCAACATCATCGAATTGCTCAATGTCAAAGCATTCAGATAAACATTTTAGGTAAATATATACACTTACCCGCATCGACTATTAATTTAGAAGATCCTTTCTGTGTGCACAGAAATAGCTCCCTTGTCACTTTGACCTTTTGGGTAATGGAATCAATTATACCAAATTATCTTCCAAATCAATTTACTCCTATTCGATTTTCTAGTGCACTTTAGTAACTACTTTTCCTTAATTCATTTTAAAAATAAAAGTAGATTCGTATAATTCATCCGGAAAGATGAAAAATGTCATCTAGACACTAATATTATCCTTAGGTGATGAAGGAGTTCCTATTCAAGTTGATGGAGAGGCATGGATTCAACCGCCAGGTATAATCCGCATCTTGCATAAAAATAGAATGCAAATGCTTTGCAGAAACAGAGCTTTGGAAAACTCATTGAAAACTTGGGAAGAAAAGCAGAGGCATCAAGAGAAACGCCTTTCAATATCCCACGACAAAACGAGATCAAGTTTGACCAGGCAAAGTATGCCTAATCAAGAAAAATCATTCCTTACAGTACCTACAGAAAAGATAAGACAACATTCCTTCAGTGGAGCAGTTCCCGTTTTAGAAAAGTCACCTTCCATCAGTTTCGACAGGATGCCTCCATCCGCGGCTTCAACAAGAGAACCAGAATTACTATTTTCCGATGAGGAACATGCTCTACTGTTAGCTTTTATTGAATGTGCAACCACCTTGACCAAGTGGATTAAGATATTAGCCATTAGTTACGACTTAGAAGTCGATTTGTACAGTTTGGCCAACAAAGCGGATAAGTGCCTCGAATGTATACATCCTAACGGTAAGCTTCTAGAGGGACCTTCTTTACGAGTAGAATTTACCAAGCTGGTTAATACTGTTAAGCACCTTTACGAAGACAGTTGCAATCTACTTCATGACAGGGGAGATAAGCTTAAACTGAGGGACGACATAGAAAATAAACTTAGCATTTCTTTGGCTAATATGGAAATGGAACTACGAAAATGCTTTACGTACGAAAATTCAGCTGGGAACTTGGTTTATCTCCAATCTACTCATGACGATCAGGTAAGATAATTACACATGTACTTCATACATCCGAATTTGCGCGCGCAACATCCGTTGCATGTTAAAATTTTAGTATAACCTCAAATTTTTAATTAAAAAGGGAATTGTACAAACAAAATGAAGTGACTTGAATATTTTTTTGTAAGGGTGAACGTAAACGCAAGGGTCTGTTTTGGCTGAAACTACGCACCCGTGGTTCGGTACTGCATTCCCAACAGCAAGCTAAGGATGTAGCGTCCTGGGGAACCCATGAGGTCGCCACGTGGCTTGAAACGTTGCAGCTGTCAGAATATATAGACAGTTTCGTTAAAAACGACATCAGAGGACGAGAATTGCTCACTTTAGCACGTCGAGATCTAAAAGATCTAGGCGTCACGAAAGTAGGACATGTGAAAAGAATCCTGCAAGCCGTTAAGGATTTATCTCAAGGGGCTTAAGATTGACACAGGTGCAGCCTAATCCAGCAGTAGAAATTATATGGAATCCTCATTATTCACGATTGCAACGACTGCATTTTCTGGAGATTTTTCTCAGCAGAGGTCAACGACGATTCTAGAGGTAGAATTCTTCTCATAGTAAAACCAAGTAAATCTTTTTTACTAACACTTCTCAAGAATGATATCGAACTAACCTTACCTATTTCACTTTATTTGTTTAGGGATGATTATATACAGGGTGTCGTCATTTTTTTCCTATATATATCACTGAAGAAATAATTTATGGCGAATGGAAATTTTATCGGCTATACAGGGTGGTCATAACTTTAAAATATAAAACTATTATAACAACATAATAGAATAATTAATATTTTTTCTCTACATTTTTCTTGACTTGACTCAATTCGTGTGACCGTGAAGTTTTGTGTAAAGAAGTAAATAATACGTTCTCAAATACATTACCTAAACAAATAGAGCAAGAAAAAGTTTTTTACCACCCTGTATAAGGTAGAATGAATTTCCTATATAATTTAACTACATGATTAAAATTAATAATACGAAAACTCTGACAATGAAAAGTATTGTTGTTCGCCGGCGGCCACGA